AATTTTTGGGTATAATATGTCACAGTTTACTTTATTTTGCTCTCCTCACTTACATGAATGAACTGTAGTGTCCTGCACGTTTTGTCTTAATAATTTTTGGTTTGACTGTATATATATATATATATATATATATATATGATTGCATATGTCAAAATGTTTAGTCTCTCTAAAAGGAAGTAATAAAAGCTGAATGCATAATAATTTTAAAAGAATGAGTGAAATGTTTTAAACGGAGTTTAGCATGTCACTTTCCTAAAAGTATTTAATGTCACCTACCCAAATTTGAACAACTTTTATAAAAGTTTTTTTTTTTAACGTTTTTACAATTTTAACCTATGCTACAAAAAATCCAGCGAAACCTCCCCTGTGTGATGTTCATTGCATCTGATGTTTCTTTCCAAGCTTGAGAATGTTGCCATGGTTTCAGTGGCAGGTGTTTGAACAGGGTGTGTCTGTTCAGGGATCAGGACAAACTAGTTTTGGGTGTATCCAGGAAGGTATGAAGTGAAAGGACAGCGCTACATCAAACAGCACTAGGAATGGAATGTGTTAGCTATGATTTGTGAAATTATGCATTTCATGCACTTGATGCTGCATTGACACACTCAGTGTCTTGTCTAGTGGCACCATCTTGTGGATAGTAGAAATGACTACACACTGTATCTACTGAAAATGTAATAATGTGTATCAATTCCATCTTACAGCGTAAACCATGTCTTTCACTCCAAAATCATACAGTAAAACCCAAACAGGTGAGAAAAACTCCTTAAAATGACATTGTTCTCATAATAAATCATAAGTACTCTAATAAAATCATTTTATTTATGTAATATTTTTTTTATTAAAAACAGTTACAACTTCAAGCACTAGATCCACTAATGTGGATGACGGCAAAAAGAAATCCCTGCTGAAGGACAATAGCTGGATTAGGACAAATGTGAAAGAGGAGGAGCAAGTCGAGTAAGTTTTCAACACATTCATCAATTAACAGCAAACCAGACAGACATAACTTGTTTAACATCTCGCCTCTGTGATATTTTTGTCAGCGGGATTTACATGTGTCTGACAGACTAGAAAACTGACATACTGAATTTATGTTTCCCATCTCTCAACAGACGTGATGGTAACTTCGGCAAAACTGTTCTGAGTCGTTATAAGTCCAACGAAAGCCTTGTCAGGTAGTTTATCTCGTCAAAATACTTTTGTTTTTTTATCCCACATGTTGCCATTAAAATTTGTAATATGAGGTCCTTATGTTCTTTTTTTTATGAAGCCCTCAAGATCAAACTAGCAAAACCAGCACTGTCAGCACTTCATCAGGTGCCACTGTCCAAGCGCTCTCGAAAAGGTAATAGACTGCTGAAGACGCACTTATCACATATACATTAAACTCCTTGCCAAATGTGTTACAAATGTGCATCAGATTACGCTGTATATAACAACACTCACAATACTCAGTATGGAAGCCCATTTCCACCACATGAAAAAACAATTGTTAAATCATAATAATGACCTAAAATGAGAAAAAGAGTCAAAATGATTAATGACAGAAAGCCAGAATTATGACAGAAACTTGAAATCATGAAAAAGAGTCAAAATTATGAGATAAAAAAATCATAATTATGACGGAAGTTGAATTATTTTATAATTATGACACAAATTGTTGAAATTATGACATTAAAGTCATAATTGAGATACAAAGTCGAAATTGAAATGATGTCAGTCGTAATAAAATGTTGAAATGATGACAAAAAAAAAAGTCAAAACTAGGAGATAAAATCTCATAATATGACAGAATTACTCATTTTTAACTCATAATTATGACTTAGTATGTGTTGTATTTCATAATTTTGATTTTGGCTCCCACAATTTCTTTTTATCTCAAAAAGTTTTTAAATTCCTTGTTTTATTGTTGTGATTATTTTTTTATTTATTATTATTTTCTTTTCTTTTATGTAAAGCACTTTGAATTACCATTGTGTATGAAATGTGCTATATAAATAAACTTGCCTTGCCTTTCCTTCAAAATGATGACTTGGTATCTCATAATTTAGACTTTTCACTCCATAATATTGACATTTTATGTCAAAATGGTGACTTTTTTTGTCATAATTATGATTTACCAAAGCATGAAGCATGACAAAATAGATTCTTTGGAAAAAGTTTATGTGACAAAATCGAATATAATAGTCTCATGTGATTGTTTTTAATATGCAGATTTGGCGGCAGCCAGGACAAACTGAATGAAACCAGGTAAAATATACACACACTTTTCTAGCACTGCAAAATCACAGCTTTCAACTTTTATTGTTTAAATCTGTCTCATAGCAAAAATCTAGTAATTATTTTAGAAAAACAGTGTATTTATTATACAGAACAATAAATGTGTTGAAGAACGTGGACTTGAACATGGACTTACATTTACAATATGATTACTCACCAACGTTTGCTGTATTTAAAACCTGTTAGAAAAAGTGATCAGAAGCCAAAAATGCTGGGAATTTAAAATATTTGAAGAGCTCAATTTTCTTCCTAACCCAACACTACAGAACAACAGGAACTAAAACAACTGTGAAAACGGAGCCCAGGAAAAGGTAACGCCTCTGAGACACACCTGCTTAAATGACTGATGATTGATTGATTGACTGAATGAATGAAGACTAGCTTCTTACAAAACTGATGATTGCTCTTTCAGCTCTACTTCTACAACAACAACAATCAAAGATGGTACAAAGATAACTGAGACAACTGTGACCACTACCAAGTAAGATGCTGAAAGGACATCGTATCGATGTCATAACTATTTCACATTATATTCATCTTATCTTGCAATCACAGAACATGTTATGAGGTCAAGGTCAGGCACTTTAACTGTGTTGTCTTCTCGTCCTCAGGCAGGATGTGGTGAAATCATCTACCAAGTCTGAAACACTCACTGATAAAGACCTGGCAGGTTTAAACACCAAGAGTTCTGGGTAAATCAGCTCGGTTCATCATGCATTCGATCATTTTTAATAAACATTAATATCAAACCAAGTGCCATTTATTTAAAAAAAACAACAACCACTTTTCACATTCGATCATTTTTAATAAACATTAATATCAAACCAAGTGCCATTTATTTAAAAAAAACAACAACACACTTTTCACACAAATTTAAAAACCATGTTTGGTTGTAGATGATAACTAATAGAAAAACTGTTCAAAATAAGATAAATGTATTATGATGTCATGTTTTCTAATTAAATGAAATTCATATTCATTTGTGGCTTAAATATGTCAATGTATGTCTCACTGCACATGTTATCTGTTCCTAAAGTGATTACAAGACTGAAGTCATTACTGTCAAGTCATCAAAGGACACTGTTGATGGGTGAGTGTTATAGAATATAAAGTTAAAAATAATAATTTTTAAAAACTTTTTTTTTTGTGTGTATTAAACTGAAACATATAATTCTTTTTGTCTAGACCAACTTCACCTGTCAAGACCACCACAAGGTACCGTAACCACAGTCTTGCTTAAATTGCTGACTAAACTGAACAAAAGTGTCTACTTTCTTAACCTCTTAGCATTTTCAATTCTAGCATCAAAACCTACACCAAAGGGGATGTTTCACCCACTAAAACAACATCATATTCTGTTCGGTCCACAAAGAGGTGAGCTTCTGAAAGATAATTACAAGTAAATGCATTTCAGTCATTGTAAGACAAAGTACATCACTGACTGAATGCTTTTTTTTTTTACAGCACTGAGGATCAACTGTTTGATACTCTCATACCAACATCTATCAAGTCAGCCAACACGAAATATGACAGCAGGTATGTGGCATTTGCATATTTATAAACTAAACAGCTTAAACAATATCTTACTCCACAAAAAGTTGAGAAAGATTTTAATTCATCACAAAAATATAGTATTTATTGCACTTGCACTTGAAAATAATGCACGTTTTGTGTCTCTAAAGTGACTACAAGACTGAGAATACACAAAATAATGTTCTTTTTAGCAGCATCATATGACCCCTTTAATGTGCAATGTAAAATGTTTAATGTTGTGTGTGTATCAGCACTGAACCTACAATTATTTTTGTCTAGACCAACTTCACCTGTCAAGACCACTACAAGGTACAGTAACCACAGCCTTGCTGACTAACCAGAAAAAATACGGCTCCAGATTGCTGACTAAACTGGGAAAAATGTGATTACTAATAGCTTTTATTAACTTCTTAACCTATTTCATTTACAGCATCAAAACCTACACCAAGGAGGATGTTTCACCGACTAAAACAACATCCTATAGCACAAAGAGGTTAGACCATGAAGCATTCGCAATAGTATTTATAGCAATAAATAAATAAATAATAATAATACAGTAATGAAATGAACTTGCATTTAGAGACTGAATTGTTGCTCACAGCACATGTTTTGTGTCTCTAAAGTGACTACACAACTGAAGAACCTATAATTATTTTTGTCTAGACCAACTTCACCTGTCAAGACCACTACAAGGTACCGTAACCACAGCCTTGTTTTCAGATTGCTGAGAAAAAAGGTGGATACTCTCCTAACCTTTTAACACTTTCATTTACAGCATCAAGACCTACACCAAGGAGGATGTTTCACCAATTAAAACAACATCTTACAGCACAAACAGGTGGGAACTCGAAGACTGTTCACATGACAATTCTTATTCTTAATAATACAGTGCAATGAAATGAAATTGCATTTAGAGACTGAATTGTTGCTCACTGAACTTGTTTTGTGTCTCTAAAGTGACTACAAGACTGACATGGTTACTGTGAAGACATCAAAGGACATCATTAATGTGTGAGTGTCACAGACCATCAGTGCTTCTCAACCCAAGGGTCACGGCCCACAAATGACTTGCAGCTCTGTTTTGACAGTCACAGACAGCAGGGGAAATGATAAATAGAAACTGTCCAGGCAACTTACCATATATTCATGCATGAATAGAACAGAAACAGCATTTAAAGTCATGCCACAGTTTGTTGATTACATTTAGTACGTTTTTAAATTCAGCTTATGCAATGTTAATAATTTTTTCATATTGTGGGGCCTATACAGTTCATATTAATGAATTTCAATATTTTGATTTAAGGACATTTTGGTTTGCTTTCGAACAAACTGTTTTGGTAAACTGCGTTGTGTCACCACTTGATGTGCAATTTAAAATCTGTGGAATATGATAGGATCCCATAGTTCAATTTTTGTGTGTGTGTGTGTGTGTGTGCATATTAACACTGAACCTATAATTATTTTTGTCTAGACCAACTTCACCTGTCAAGACCACTACAAGGTACAGTAACCACAGCCTTGCTGACTAACCAGAAAAAATGCAGCTCCAGATTGCTGACTAAACTGGAAAAAATGTGATCACTAATAACTTTTATTAACTTCTTAACCTATTTCATTTACAGCATCAAGACCTACACCAAGGAGGATGTTTCACCGACTAAAACAACATCCTATAGCACAAAGAGGTTAGACCGTGAAGGATTCGCAATAGTATTTATTGCAAAAAATAAATAAATAAATAATGATAATAATAATGCAGTGTAATGAAATGAACTTGCATTTAGAGACTGAATTGTTGCTCACAGCACATGTTTTGTGTCTTTAAAGTGACTACACAACTGAAGTGGTTACTGTGAAGTCTTCAAAGGACATCATTGATGTGTGAGTGTCACAGATCAGTGCTTCTCAACCCATGGGTCACGACCCACAAATGACTTGCATGCTTACATATATGCTGATGGATCACCGAGGGCAGAGAAAATGTTAATTGCATGTTAATTGCAATTAAATGAAAATATATTATAGTTTAAATTTTTATTAAATGCAATTAGCTGAACTTTAGAGTGCTTTTTTGACCACTTATGTAGGACTTAAAAGGTTAGTTCACCCAAGAATGAAAATTCTGTCATTAATTACTCACCCTCGTGTCGTTCCAAACCCGTAAGACCTTCGTTCATCTTCGGAACACAATTTAAGATATTTTTGATGAAATCTGAGGGCTCTCTGACCCTCCCATAGACAGCAAGGTAACTACCACGTTCAAGGTCCAGAAAAGTACCAAGATGATCGACAAAGTAGTCCGTGTGACATCAGTGGTTCAACTGTAAAGTTACGAAGCTACGAGAATACTTTTTTGCGCAAAGAAAACAAAAATAACGACTTTATTCCACATTTTCATCTCTACTGCGTCACTTGTGGACTTATATCGACTTATGTCGATCATCTTGGTACTTTTCTGGACCTTGAACGTGGTAGTTACCTTGCTGTCTATGGGAGGGTCAGAGAGCCCTCAGATTTCATCAAAAATATCTTAAATTGTGTTCCGAAGATGAACGAAGGTCTTACGGGTTTGGAACGACACAAGGGTGAGTAATTAATGACAGAATTTTCATTTTTGGATGAACTAACCCTTTAAGCACATGTCATTTCATAATTACTTCTGTTGTCTTTGAAATATAGTTAAAGTTTACTGCTGAATGTACTGACAAGCTTTTATGCTAAACTAAAATGTAAATATAATAATCTGTTGAAGCATGTATGTCATGTATCTAAATATATTTTTCAGTTACACATTTGAAATGAAGTCGTAATTCAGTGCATTTAAAATATATCAACTTTAAATGTAATACTGAATAACACACTACAGATCAAATTATAATCAAGTACTTTACATGTGCTTTAGTATGTTAGTCAACACATCAAGATAACCTACTTAAGCACAACAAAAGATGATCAAATCATAATAAATGTACTTTTAATTTCATGTTATTTTAAAATCGACTCCAAAAATTATATCATACTATTAATTCGGTTGCTGTTTAGTTTCTGTTGTATTTTTTGTGGGTATTAAACTGAAACATATTTTTATTTTTGTCTAGACCAACTTCACCTGTCAAGACCACCACAAGGTACAGTAACCACAGTCTTGCTTACAGATTGCTTACTAACCTAAAATAATGAGGCTGCTCTATTAACCTCTTAACATATTTTCAATTCTAGCATCAAAACCTACACCAAGGAGGATGTTTCACCCACTAAAACAACATCATATTCTGTCCGGTCCACAAAGAGGTGAGAACCTGAAAGATATTTCCAAGTAAACGCCCATCAATGCTTTTCTTCAGACAAAGAAAATCACTGACTGAATGATTTTTTTACAGCACTGAGGATCAACTATTTGATACTCTCATACCAACATCAATCAAGTCAGCCAACACTGACAGCAGGTATGTGGCATTTGCATATTTATAAGGTGTGAACCCATTCGTGGCGAGTTTGACATTTGCTTCGGCCTTTAAGTAGTTTAACCAGTCTTATGACTGACAGGCTAAAAGCACAAAAGCAGCTGCACATTCATACTTAGAGCTCATGACTTTCCATTAGAGCTTCACTCTCACTGCAGCAGTGTTTATTCTATCATGGACTTTTATCGTTCCTACAGTCGCGAGGATATATCGGTCTCCAAATCCATCAGAACCGTGTATTCTACAAATGAGAGGTAGGATGGTATTTCTTATTCAAGCATCTTTGCCTGATCCATTATCTGTTGTTTATTACACTGCTTTATCTTTTTTAAATGCATGTAGAGATGAATGGAGTTCAGTCACAAGTCCTTCTTACAGCAGAACATCATACACAGAGAGCAGGTTGAGCATCCACATTGACACATTCAGATATCTTGTCATTTACAGCTGTAAAACACTACATTACTCATTACATTTGACCAGGTTTGTAGACTTAGTTACGTCATTTTGTCCACAGGCCTGTTGATTACATGTCTGACACGCTCGCATCAAAAACCACTACGACTGTGTACACTTCACCGGAAAGGTATGGAAGCGGAAAGAAGTTCATATTTAATATTTAGTGCACATGTGAAATGCATATGACTTTGTTGCAGGGTAGTAACTGGGAAGGACATTTGCACAGTCTGCCATAAAAACATGTACACAGATGAAAAGATGATCCTGGATGACATGAATATCAACTGTCATGCAAGTTGTTTCAAGGTTAGTCCTTTTTAAACTCTTAAAAAATGTGTAACACTTTATTGTTTTCATTAAATCAAAATTTATGAAAACTGTATGAATGCAGTATGAAATATGAACATTTTATTTTTATAATTAAAATTTTGTAAGTCGCTTTGGATAAAAGCGTCTGCTAAATGACTAAATAAATAAATAAATAAAAAATAATTACGATTTTTGTTGATGTTATTAATGTATTCAAATGTGTCTTTTTATAGTGTTACTTAACTACAAGGATTTTCATTATTTATTTCAATAATTTCAATAAAAACAAAACAATGAAAAATAATGCAATTTTAAAAGAATTCATGTTTTATTCAAGAAAAAGAATTTAAAAGTATATTTTATTTTTATTATTATTATTATTACTTGTATTTTTAGTGTGGGGTGTGTAATGCTTCTCTGGGACTCCTGAAGGCAGGGGACAGTTTGTGGGTGTACCGTCGTGCCATTCACTGTGAGAGCTGCTTTGGTGTCACTAAGGGTAAGACTCACTCTACTCTGCTTTTCAGTATCCTGAATCATACAGTTAATATGTTTGAAAAAAAAAAAAAAAAAATGTCTTTTTTACAGGCAAATGGCTCCGCTGAAACTACATTTAGCAATAATGAAGTGATGTTATGAAAGAGATGGCAAATATACATGCCTATTCCAAAACTTTCCCACGGCTTTGATTTGGACTCGGGCCATTTGAAGTGCATAAAACAGTTTTTGGTGGTGGACTTTTGTCTGATAATAGACTTTGGGGTTTATTAATTGCATTGATTGCTATCTTCCCTGATGATGTGACAAGGATCTTATCTGATTATCAAAATAATAAGAATATTTTTAAAGTATATTTTTGCTCATACATGATAATATATATATTTTTGAGTTCTATATTTTTTTCTTCACTAATGTTATGTTATTAAAGCATAAATGTGAATGATGAGAAAATATGAGAGTTTTCATCTGATTGTCTTTTATTGTTCAGATCTGGTTAAACATCATTCCAGAGACCAGTTATGCAGTACCTTTCACCATTGTAGCTATAAATTGAATATGCTTGTATTTCTAAAGAATTGCAGGCTTTCAAAAAATATGCTGTGATCAAGATCAGACACTTCAACTCTTGTCTTATGACTGGATTCTTAAGAGGATGCAAAAATAAAGAGCTAAAGTTAGCCATTGCTCTGTAAGGGATTGAGAGAGTTTGCTTACATAAACTGTTTATATTATCTGTGCTTCTGTAATTTTATCAAGAGGGAGAAAAACCAACTAAACTTCAAGACATCACAGAATTCTTTAAATCGATTACATGTTTGTTGTGCTGCTGTTTTCACACTAAAAATTATGTCATTTCCTAGAGGATGATCATAGCGTTAATCAAGTGACTTTTATCGGTTTAGGCATTTTACAAAGACTAACAGGAACGAAGTTGATGTTGATACACAGGAAAACAAAAACAATTTGAAATATTTAAATTAGACAAAAGACACACCTGATATATTTCTTAATAAATTATCAGATTTTCAGCAGAAATGTTCAAACCAAAGTACAGTGGAAGAAAATTGGTGTTGGATTTACTTTGGAACAATTTACACTATTACTAGCAAATTTTACAATTACAAAGAATCAAGTAACACATTGAGTTAAACTTACAAATTTTGAAAGACTGAAATAGTATTTTCGGTAACACTTTAGAATAGGGAACACATTCACTACTAAGAGTTTTCCCTGAATAGACTCCTAATTTGCTACTTATTAATAGTTCGTAAGGTAGTTGTTAAGTTTAGTTATGGGGTGGTCATGTAGAATAAGGCATTAATATGTGCTTTATAAATACTAATAAACAGCCAATATGCTAGTTGTCATGATCATGGACTTTTAGTTTGTTTTCTTTCCTCATGTTTCCATTGACCTAGTTTTCCCACGTGTCTGATTAGTTCACTCTGTTCACCTGTGTCTAGTTTATTATCTTCATTTGTCGGTGTACTTAAGTTCCTGTCTGTTCTGCCTTAGTTTGCCAGATCTCATCTATGTGTTCACGTCTGCTAAGCCTTCCTCTTGTGGATTTACCTTCTGTGTGGATAATTAAAGATTATTTTACCTTCATCATCTTCCTGAGTGTTTTGAGTGCACCATAGTGTGACACTAGTAATATGCATGCTAATAAGCAAGTTAATAGCGAGAATTGGTCCTTAAAATAAAGTGTTACCGTATTTTCTTGTGAAACATAGTACAACTTTTACAAGTGTAGTTAAATCATTTGAAACTCACACTTAAATTGTGATATTAAAATAAAGGAAAACTAATACATTTACAACACTAAAATTGTGAGTTTAATATCTCATCCAATATATTAAGACATGGGCCAATACCGTTCAAACATTTGGAGACGGTGAGATAATTTTTTTTATTTAAAAAAGTCTCTTAAGCTCACCTAGGATATTTATTTGATCAAAAAATACAATAAAAACAGTAGTATTGTGAAATACTATTGCAATTTATATCTTAATATATTTTAAGTTGTAATTTATTCCTGTGGTACAAAGCTGAATTTTCAGCATAATTACTCCAGTCTTCAGTGCCACATGATCCTTCAGAAATTATTCTAATATGCTGATTTGCTGCTTATGAAACATTTTTGATTATTATCAATGTTGAAAACAGCTGTGCTGCTTAATATTTTTGTAGATTCCTTGACGAATAGAAAGTTCAAAAGAACAGCATGTATTTGAAATAGAACTATTCTGTAACATTGCAAATGTCACTTTAGTTCAACTTACTGTCCTTAATTTGAACGGTGGTGTATATTATGGGAATGTGAAACTGAAATAGCTTACATAGTTGAAGAATTGAATAGAATAGAATATATGACACTCCAAATGTAGGCTAAGGCACCATTTTATTGCTAGTCATCTGAATCAAATGAGGGCTGGCGAGGAGCTGGGGTTCAGTGGCTGGTGTTTTGCCTGGTAATGTGGTGGTCGTGTGTTGTGTTTTGAACTGAGGGGGAGGAGACAGAGACGCGGGCATGAGCAGCACATAAGCATCTGAATGAAGCATGCAAGCTGTCTGAAAGCACTGCGAGTCTGGGCACACAGGGTAAACAACACCGCCACCATCTTACTACTGTTTATATGCTTTGCTCTTCAATGGACGGACTATTGTTCAACCCGCAGATGATGGCGGACGTCAATGGCAACAGTAAGATAATGAACGCAGAACTGGAGGTGAAAAAGCTTCAAGAGCTCGTGAGAAAACTGGAGAGGCAAAACGAGCAGCTCAGGACGAGAGCAAACGCTGCGAACAACTGCACCTCCAGCGCCCGTCTGTTAGCAGCTCCGGCTGGCCCAGACACCGGGAATTACTGCGTTTCACCTTCATATTCTCCCTCTTTCGGACTATCGGATGAGCACTATCCGTATTTTCATCCGCAGTCAGTGACTGGTGCTGATGAGGATGATGCTACTGTACTGGATGAGGTGGAAATACTAGACCTTCATGTTGTTCTTCCCATCGATGGAGAGTCTGATTATAGCTGGTACTGATGCTGTATTATTTACTAAGTAAACAATGGTGTAATTCTCGCCTAGAAGGTTATGGTTTGATTTTCAGCGTCGCATGCTCTTTGTCATCCCTTAAATTCAGTTCCCATGAAATGTCACCATAAGTGGACTACTGTATGTGTCCAGGTTCATTGTTTGGTGGGTGAGTGTCTGAACATCACTGATGCTGCAGCATATCTTATTAGGGTAGCAGACTGGCTTGCTGTTTCTTGCATTTGTTGATGTGAAAAATGTGAAAAATTTATATTTTTCTTAAAGGGGTCATATGATGCGATTTCAATTTTTCCTTTCTCTTTGGAGTGTTACAAGCTCTTGGTGCATAAAGAAGATCTGTAAAGTTGCAAAGACTAAAGTCTCAAATCCAAAGAGATATTCTTTATAAAAGTTAAGAGTGCGTTGTTTCGACATATTTTGCCTGTCGATTCCCCAGATTGGGTGCTTTGAGAATATGCATTACCAATTTAAATACTGTAAGATGTTTATTTGTACTGAGACATTTCAGGTGTTATTATAGAGTTCAAATGTCACATCCATAACGCTGGAATTGCCCATGCTGGAGAACTTGTGGAGTTCATGCAACTTGATTGCTGCCAACACAATCTCATGGCAGTTCGTAACTATTTTACATTTTGCTGAATTGGTGGCTGTTTAGCGTGAATTTGTACATTTTCATCTGAATCACATTGTACGAATTCATACAAAATTGCTACCTCATAAATACTTGTTTTTGTGTTAAGTAAAAGAGGGACAAACCAAATACTAGGACATTATTAAACTAGGATTATAATATAATTTGTAATGACATAAAAAGTATTTTTTGAAAAATTTACAAAAATGTCACTATGGTCTCAGATGTGAAGCCCACTTTATTTGTTCATACAGTATGGCACAGGATATTAAGATTAAAATATGTATTTAAAACATTCTTTCACATTTATGTGCTGAAACTTCAGAGCTTTTATTCAGTGTTACATCTTCATTAAAACCAAAACAATACAATAGATAACACCAGGACATTCACGGAAATGGGTAGAGATTTGATCAAGTCGAATAAACATCATTCATATCCTGAATTCAAAATTAGACCTATATTTATTTTGTATTCTTGCAAAATAGTTAGTAGGACACTTTTAATAAGTGAGATCATGTTTTTATATTCGATTTTAGTTTTTTATATTAGATGTTTTTTATTTTTATTAGATATTTTTCAGGTGAACACTTATTGTCTCTTTCAAACATGTGACTAAGATTTACTGAAAGCAGACAGTGGTCATATATGCCTTTTAATATTTTAGGTGCTGTTTCAAACTATACCTTTTAGTCAGCTGAACTAATACAAATATTATTAGGTTCATGATTAAATTCATGAAGCATCCAGGCAACACCACAATAATGAAAGTGTGCAAAAGTACAGATTTGAATGTTTTGACCAAGCTTTTATGTAACCAGGTTGTACGTGTCTCCGAAAGCAAAGCTGTTTCCTCATCTTCTCCTCAGTCCTCTTCAGTGGTGCAGACACGTGCTGGACAACCCCAGACCAGAGGTGGAGTTAGCCAAACGCTCATTGTGCTACAAACTGGACCAAGGTACTTCCCATCATTGCCATGAATATAAAGTATGAAATGTGAATGTCTAAAATGTCATTGTTGTTTATGGCCAAATTGAGCTTGAGGGTTAGGGATTGACCACTATAGATTTTCTTTAAAGAAATAGTTCACCCGAAATGTACTCACCCTCAGGCCATCCAAGATGTAGATGAGTTTGTTTCTGTTATCTAACAAATAAAATCTTATTGTAAAGTGTTTTTAATACTACAGTTTCCATCTATTTGATATACACTTAATATATGTAATCTTATCTAAATTTATTATAAAAGCTGAGGTTTGTTATTTCCTGAAAAGTTATATTTTAGCTGGTGTCAATGATCTTATGTTGCATTTGGTCAGACTCAGCCCATTGCTTTACTTAAGTATATTATATTTTCCTTTTACAGCTGCAGACTGAGGAAGATCCTGAAACACACCAGCAAACCCTAAAACAGACAACAGTTTACAGATGTTTTTCAGTGGCAGCAGAACTATGACTAAACTTTTGGGTGAAACTTGTTTACTTTTTTCATACTTTTATTACTTGTGGAAAAACTTGAAACAATTTTAAATAAGTATAAAGAATGGCATTGGTTTTGTACATTTAATTTTTGTTGAACGTTATTAATAAAAATGTTGTTCAATTAGCATGTTTTTGTGTTTTGCTTTGGTACCGAGAACCGTGGATTTTCACTGGTATTGGTACCGAATACTGAAATTTTGGTACCGTGACAACACTAGTGCCGTCAGAATGAGAGTCCAAACAGCTGATAAAAACATCACAATAATCCACAAGTAATC